CGAGGACAGGAGCATGGCAATTGTGCAAGATTGTTGCATGGCAAGTGCCAATGGGAATTGTGCAAGAATCAGTGACTCACAACTGCTGTGATATAAACAGTTTAGACAGGATGAGATGAAGTAGGGCGTCTTTAGATTAGTCACAGTTAGGCTACTTTCATGCAAATAAGCATTGGTATTTTGTAAGAAACAGTGACAAAATGTTTGTTCTCCCTGACCCCATCTTAACAGAAGCCAGAGGCATGTCTATTGTGTTTGACTTGGTGATGGGCTGATATGTGGGGTTCCAAGTTCTATTTTTGTTTGAGTGCTTTATGCTTGTTAAATTTTCTATTGCTATTTTGTTGTTGAATTCCTTTGCTTTGTTTTGTGGCAAACAATGCTGTGGAAGGGAAGTGTGAAGTGCATCATCAAATTATTGGTGTTACATATTTTTTATGCTCATTACACTGTTATGAAATAACCATGTTTTAATGTAGTCTGTTTCGCTTAAATGGCCTAAGATGTTAAAAAAGCAAAACAGTGTTGTCAAGTTAATGATACTTGTTCATGCCCGACTTGAAATGTATGCCTTTGTTTGCTGACAATGTCGCGTCACTCGCCCTAAGTTCCGTCTTTTGTGAATTGAATTTTTCACTCCTGCCTGGTCTTTTAGCGATGGGATTTTTCGCCTCCACCCTAGTTTAAAAGTGATTCTAGCTCACTGCTGGCCACTGTAGGTACTTGTACATATCAAACGCTCCAGGTGACCTGCAGCATTGAGTGATACCTTCTCTCTCGGGGAGGAGGGAGGGGTGGAGGGAGGGGTGAAGCCAAAACCAAATCGCAAGCAAAATATAGACACGCTTGTTTTATTGTCTGCTGATGGTCCTATACCCTGGCTATCGAATACACATAGCCAAAATGCTCTGGTTTGGTGATGAAGTGCTTTCCCGGGGCGCCATATTACAACCATCACCCTATATAAAGGCCGGCCGCCGTCAAAATATGCGCGCGTGACAAGGGTGATTCGAGCCAAAAACTCATGCCTTTTTAAGATTTACTCTCGCGAAGTAAGATTGTTCTTCCTTGGCCGATAGAAGTCCCACAATAACACCGCTAGCGCATGGCTGCGCAATCCGTGCACGCAAAGAAATCAAAAGTATTTCAAACTGGGCGCCGTGTCGTGAAAATGACCGCTCCAGCCACCCTCCCCCCCCCCCTTCTGGGACGCCGTATCGTGAAAATGACCGCTCCAGCCACCCCCTCTCCCCCCCCCCCTTCTGGGACGCCGTATCGTGAAAATGACCGTTCCAGCCACCTTCTCCCCCCCCCCCCTTCTGGAATTGAGTGATAAGATCTCAGCACGTCGGCCGAAAGAAATCGGAACAAAATTTGACGAGTGGGATGTACTGGCAGGTCGTGGCCCTACACCAGTGCTATGGAATGTATACAGTCACCATAAACCAGTCTGACTAGACATATGTTTTTATTTCCCAGTATTATGGCCATCACTCTATCTGCGGGCCGGCCGCCGTTGGGTCTTCAGCTATCAGGGGCTATTTGAACAAAAACAGGTCATGTCCGCCCAGGAGATATTTACATAGCCGACCGAGGGTCATGCCGCAATGACATTGTGGCACAAGGTTGCACGTTCTGCGCCCAAGAACAAACATTTTAGATTGGAGCCGTTATCTGCGCACATCATCCCTTCAGCCGGACCGCCAGCGCTTAGTGGTACGCTGTTGGGGTCAAGACCAAAAAATGAAAAAAAAATCTGACGGGTGTGCTACACCGGCCGCTGATAGCCGTATGGCCTATTGAATTCAACCCTCACAAAAATCGAGTTGGGCTATCGTTACTTTCGCCGTGCCGCCATGTTTTGGACGCGATGCCCGTCCGTCGCTACGCTTGCCGCTGTGGTCGGGTGATTTTAACAAAACACGAAATGCCCATCGATGCGAGATTTACGTTGCCAGTCGATTGTGCTATCACAGTAACCTCGTTATGGTAGGGTCGCCGCCCTCCACGCACCAGTAACAGTACCTCGAACTGGGCGTCGTATCTGCACAGACCACCGCTCCGACCGGCCCGCCAGCATTGAGTGGTACGCTGTCGGAGGTTTGGACCGAGAAAAACAACACTAAAATCTCGTCGAGTGTGTTTTGATCGCAGCTGATTAGAAATATCCTGCAAGGCTGTCTGATTGTAACAGCCCTGTGACCCCACGTGCGTGGCCATGAAATGAAAGCCATGCGAAAAACTGCTTCCTGTCCCTTCTTCTCAACATTTCAAAGCTTTACCAAATTGTGCCCATCTGCCTTCAACAACACCTCGCAGACCTCGGCTTGCATTCCGGCTTTGCTAACGGCCCAACGAGAATTCGGATGTGTATTGGTGTTATAATCCACATTGCACGAATTTGTAAACGGATGCTGGCTAATGTGCGGCGCCATTGCCGCCCCCCGTAGCCGGAATAGAGACCGGCTACACATAGCAGTGGCGGGTTGCTCGCCGCGTTTTTCAGGGTACTAGGAGGGCAGCGGCGGCACAGACTGCACTCAGTCTCGGACACGCTCCGCGGCTGACCGCCCAGGTGGCGCACACGACACGCAGTTGGCTGACGGCCGGTCGGCGAAGGGCCGGCGACAGCGGCCCCTGCGTCGACCGGGCCACATCCTCCGCCAACATGTCATACGGCACCGGCTCGTAACATCGGCACCAGCTGATTTGGCGGACATTTGGACGTTTCGAAGTCCGACGAGCCGACGCTAGACACGACTTCTTTTCCCCGATGAGAGCAATGCCAACAGAACTACAGCTGCGAGCATTTTTGGCGGGTCACGCCAAATGGTCAGTCTTCCGCAGCCTTCAACTCGCGCCCTAAACAAACCAAGAAGATTGAACAAAGGTGCGCTGTTGACGAGCTGCTGGGCCCTTCGAACCATTTCCCCGCTTTGGATTGTTTATTTTCTTGACGTCACATTTATGTCGCCCCGGATAGCGGTAGACAGGACGGTGGCAAATGTGGAGCGCTATATGCTCTGAACGGACCGTGGGTAATCTTTTAAAGTAATATAACAGGCTTTCAGCATGATACAAGGCCTGATTACACCAAGCCATCTGATAAGAGCAGCTATGTTTGGCGGTTTGCAAGTTACACGTAAACAATGGGGACATCAGAGGCCCAGGTTCGACCCCGGTCGTGTTATGGTCTCTGTGCGCCACGGCCGCCAAGATCGCCGGCGCTCCGCAGGAGCGGCCGCCGTGCTCCTATAAAAACGCGAATCAAATGATACATTGATTAGCCTGCATTGGACCGGAGTGTTCCAAATTTGGCACGTCGCTTCTATTTTGATCTCACCACCCTGCCCCGCCCTTGCATGGTCTAGAATGACACCGAGGATCGTGAGCGAGTAACTTTTGAGCTTTTGAAGAGCTCTCCATTACAAGGAGCTTTCGGTGATGAACAAATAACGCGTGGTCCGCCCTAAAAATGTTGACCTAAAGGAATGTTTGCAACCCGACATCATATATTACGAAATCCGCGTTACTCAATCCGGAAACCAGAAATTGCACGAAGAACCCTGCTGCGATGTTTTACATCGAATGTTTCCTTGACGGGAGTTCATTCTAATTCGACCAGTAGTGCACTTCCACACCCCGCCTCGATGCACGTCTTGCGAACTGCTGGCCAAAACATTACAACAAGGGACCAGGAGGCCAGAACGCTGAAACATAAAAAATCCGGTCATGTGAAATGTCACCGGATCCATGCAGCGGTACCAGAATCAGGTTTTCAACCATGTCGATGGGCTCATAACTGTTGTAAACCGTCAAATATAGCCACGCAGTGCGTTATATCAAACCTGCCCAAAGCCGAAAGAAAAACAGCGATTAACAGCGTGTTCTGACGCCGCTGCTCTGATCGCGGCAAAGCTTTCACCAGTAGATTTCGCGTATCAGAGGGGCGACAATTTTCCATCCGTCTTCGATTTCCGACCACAAACACCCAATCAAAACTTCTGAATAGTACCCTGATAGCCGAAGGACACAACGAACCATCGAGAGTACACTACCTATCTGCGCTTGTCTTCTCCGCAGTTTTTAATGCGGATTATGAGTAATTCTGGCCATTTCTTTTGATGAGTAATACAGCACACCAGAAAGCTCTGTGCTACACAGCCGCGCAAACATGACATACTCGCGCGCGTGCACCGCAACTGCCTTCGGCGCGCGGATACACCATAAACGAAATAAGAGTTCCAGCCACAAGCCGCGGCCCGGCGGCCATCGGCGCCCGCCCGTCTCTCCAGCAAACGGCACACCAGAGGTCCGTGGACGGGCTCGGGCCGGGGCGACCGACCGTGCCCTCACCCGCGGCCCGCGGCCCAGAGTAATCAGCATGTGCCACCAGCTCAGCCGACAGACGGTGCAACGGAGCGGTGTCGGCAACGACCCACGCCGCTCGGCGCGATCTCCGACGCGCCGAGCGCAGTCTCCCGGCAACACCGATACCGCGATCACGAGCACCAGCCGTCCGCAGCACTCGAGCTCGATCGCGATAGGCGCCCATAAGGTGCCGACCGAAGTCCCTTGCAGATCGATGGCATCGACATCACCGTCTGAAATGCCCGTTGCCACCGTCGAAATAAAGCTGAAGATCGGTCCGATGAGTCGAGGTCGGACATGATTGGGCAAACGCCGCAGGTAATTGCACTCGACACGCCGGTCACCGCGCCGTCACAGCGAGCGGACGCAGCCAGCCACAGCTAACGCAACACTAACCACGCACCGCAAAGACCGTTCGGCCGCGCCGCCAGACGAGGACGCCAGGCCGGTCCGTTCCCCCCCCGTACGGACGACGGCGGACGAGGGGGAGCGCGGCAGTGATGACCGGACGGTTGCTCGCCGGCCGTCGAGCGGCCCGGCTGGAAGCCGGAGAGTGGCGGCGGGCGGCGGTTCAACGGTCCGACCGAGCTGGGCCGGCCCGGCGCCCGCTGCTAGTAGCCATGCTCGACGTCGGGCGCCTCCGTCGCCGGCTGCCGGGCGCGTCCTCGACAGCAGGCTCTCCGTCTCCTCCGACTGCCGGCCGGAACGAGGCAGCGTCAGGCACTAGTTCTCAGCCGGCACGTTCGCAGCGTTCGCGCTCTACCACAGCATTGTCAGGCTGATGGTCTGCGACGAGTGCGGTGCCGTCGTGCGGGACCACGCACGGCACACGCGGTACGGCCACACAGAACAAAATGTCACGGAAAACCCCTGAGGTGACACACTATCCATGACTATCCACGGCGGACCACGGCAGCGCTGGCCAATGCTCACGCGTGGCCCAACGCGACGTCGGGTTGATCCCCCTGGAAGGCCAGCGGGCGTCATCCTGACTGCCCACTGAAGACCACAGCACCGTCAGAATGACCATTCACGGCAACTGATTTACAGCAGGTGTCCAACTGGGGTACCCACGGCAGACCACATCCACCGTCAGAATGACCAGTCACGGCCAACTGATTACAGCAGTGTCCAACTGGGTACCCACGGCAGAACACATCACCGTCAGAATGACCAGTCACGGCAACTGATTACAGCAGTGTCCAACTGGCTACCCCACGGCAGACCACAGCGCCGTCAGAATGACCAGTCACGGCAAATGATTACAGCAGTGTCCAACTGGCTACCCCACGGCAGACCACAGCGCCGTCAGAATGACCAGTCACGACAACTGATTACAGCAGTGTCAACTGGCTACCCACGGCAGACCACAGCACCGTCAGAATGACCAGTCACGGCAACTGATTACAGCAGTGTCCAACTGGCTACCCACGGCAAGCCACAGCACCAAAAACTATCCTGAAAAAACGCTAAAAAAAACCCGCTCCTCGTTTCTCGGAGCTCGGTAAACGATTCAGAAAATTCCAAACGTCTCTATTAAAGTAAGTGGGGTGGCAGTCCCATGCACAAAATTTCGCAGGTAGAGACATGAGCGTAATAATCGATCTTGAATTAACAAACGAACCACGCGTGAGCCATCCAACAGGAGGCGCACCAGCCACTCTTCCGCCCGAGTCACGCCAGAAACAGGCATTTCCCGTGATGTCGACGCCCGTCCGCCAGCCTAGTTACGCTCCGGATACGTTATCGGATCACAACGCATGTAACCACAGTCCCCGACGCGCGTTCAGAGCTGCTCGGTCTCTGTGTGAGTTGTGTCTGGAAGATGAGGGCGTGAGCATGTGCTGGATGTCGTGCGCGAGCTGAACCGGTTTACGTGCCCGGACCCCGTGATGTACCGCGCGCTGAGCCTTCCCAAACCTTCTTTCGCTCCCAGGCAGCCAAGCGACCTGGCTCAGCCCTTCACATACGCACAGAGCATCCAGCGGCGTTATACGCGGCCGGACAGTCAGCTGGCCCTGTCACACATCAGCACACAACCTGGACGGCCCTGTCACACATCAGCACACAACCTGGACGGCCCTGTCACACATCAGCACACAACCTGGACGGCCCTGTCACACATCAGCACACAGCCTGGACGGCCCTGTCACACATCAGCACACTACCTGGACGGCCCTGTCACACATCAGCACACAGCCTGGACGGGCCTGTCACACATCAGCACACTACCTGGACGGCCCCTGTCACACATCAGCACACAGCCTGGACGGCCCTGTCACACATCAGCACACAGCCTGGACGGCCCTGTCATACATCAGCACACAACCTGGACGACGGCGATTCACTAAACGCACCACCCAAGCCTTTAATCATATCGCTTCCACCACCAGGGAAAAATGCGAAATGGTTTTTTAAAGGAATGTGAAGCGAGGCGGATCGGTTTGACATATAAGTTAGGTTCAGTGTCAATTCGTACGCATCCTTTGTGATTGTTTCGCCCTGCACGCATCATTCTCATTGCTTTGTGGGCAGACGACGATGCATGACAAGCTAGACTATAGCCGAATGTATCTTAAAACATGCATGCATGCATGTACATACACGCATGCATGTATATGTGTCCACATGCATACATGGGCATACATGTACATATGTATGTGCATATATATATATATATATATATATATATATATATATATATATATATATATATATATATATATATATATACATGTGCATACGTATGTATATACATGCGTGCAAATACGTGCACACAATGCAAATATGCACTTATATACATGTGTACATGCATATATACATGCATACATACATACATACATACATACATACATGCACGCACATTACCACGCCGTGAATGCTACTGGGTTAATTTCGGTTTGGGTATATCATCAAAACGCAATGGTCCTATCAAACCAACGGTGGCTACGGCCTGGAGCCCACCAATCGCGGAGTGGTGGCTCGCCAATACATACATGCAAGTGGCTTGACAGTGGCCACCCACGTCAGGCCACAGCAACGGCGAACTGACTGTCTGCTGCACACCACGGCAGGAGAGCTGCGCCAAGACCGCACTAGTCCAGACGGTCTTTACAGCACAACCAATCGGCTCACACACCCAGGTCCACGCATGGGACACCCACACGCAGTGACATGACCATAACATGGTGATAAGCACGCCGTCGAGACCTACCTTCTTGGCGCTGCAGCACTTGTTGGCCACGCAGTTCTCATTCTCCGACGGCGGACAGTCCAGGATGCATGTCTCGCTCTTGTTGGACGTTGCCGCTTCGTACTGGAAACAGGCAGCAATGAGCAGCACTGGTGCGGGGCTGCTGATGGTCTGGAATAGTGAGGAAGAATATGGCGCGGCCCCCCCCCCCCCCCCCCTCCCCCGTTGGTCCCTGACTTAATCGACAGATCATTTCGTCCGGTGGTCTTAATGGTCCAAAAACGCATCCCAAAAACATTTCCTTGGTGTGGCCAGTGTTGTAAGACGGCAGGTCCGTTACTATAAATACACGAGTGAGCTCAAGCACACCAGCCGCAAGAGGAAGTTTGTTTAATGTTCGCTTCTCAACACTTGGCGTCACCTTGTGACTACGACCAAGTACCAAGGAGTAACAACACTACTTGCGCCGCCCAATGTACCGAGCAGCTGGCGGTGAACCAGACAAAGTCGGTCGGGTTTGATGCTGATCCCAAACACTACTTGCGCCGCCCAATGTACCGAGCAGCTGGCGGTGAACCAGACAAAGTCGGTCGGGTTTGATGCTGATCTGTACCGAGCAGCTGGCGGTGAACCAGACAAAGTCGGTTCGGGTTTGATGCTGATCTGTACCGAGCAGCTGGCGGTGAACCAGACAAAGTCGGTTGGGTTTGATGCTGATCTGTACCGAGCAGCTGGCGGTGTGAACCAGACAAAGTCGGTCGGGTTTGATGCTGATCTGTACCGAGCAGCTGGCGGGTGAACCAGACAAAGTCGGGCGGGTTTGATGCTGATCCCTTATCTACTCTCGTGCAGTGATGAACAACACATCCATGAGCAAAGTTACGATTGTTTTCGGATCGGGCCGGCGTGAAGTCTGTAATCAATCAATGGTAACGGACTTGACGTGCGCATCGGTGCAGCGAAGGATCGGGCCGGCGTGAAGTCTGTAATCAATCAATGGTAACGGACTTGACGTGCGCATCGGTGCAGCGAAGGATCGGGCCGGCGTGGAAGTCTGTAATCAATCAATGGTAACGGACTTGACGTGCGCATCGGTGCAGCGAAATGTCTTTAGTTTTGTTTTTGCCATCGATGATGAGTAAGCTAACTCACCACTCACCAAGGAATGTACATATATGAACGTATACATTTCTTGGCTTACATGGGGCTATGTGCGATACAATCAATTGCATCAACTAATAACAAGGCATTATGAATGCACACCTCTTACGACAGTCTATCCCTTAACAACACTTATTTTTAGCCCATTTAAGTCTTACGTCCACAAACTCAGGCTGTATGGTGGTCGAGTGGATGCCCTCGTTGTGGAACAGCTGCTTGATCTGTTCGGCAATGGTCATGTAGTCGGCCAGGTTGTGGCAGCGGATGTGGGCTGAGGCGATGATGCGGTCCCCGGCCAGCTGCCACACATGAAACTCGTGCACGGCCAACACGCCCTCGATCTCACGCAGGATCTTCTGTTCGATGTAGTCCACCTGGATGTGCGTCGGCACCGTCTGCAGCAGAATCATGGCGCTATCCACCACTGCAAGGAGAAGGGGGCGGTCAGATGATGGAGATACCTGCGTGCAGGCTCAGCTGTGGGACTATGGGCTGTCCACGCCTGCAAGGAGAGGGGACAGCTCAAGAGGCCGGAGCCGCTGTGCACCGGCTGATCTACCGCGGGACGTGGCCGCAGTCGTCACTGCGAGATGAGACAGATCGGACTCATTCTGCATGCAGGCTCAACTGTAATCGGTGCCTATCACCCATAGTGTCCGGACACGATGTAGAACGATGACAAGACCCCGCGATGTACCGCAGCTCTGGCCGACCCCAGCTCCAGCACCAGTCCCTCAGTGTACCAAAGCCCCGGCAGCAGCCCCCAGTACGCGACCCCAACGCCGGCAGCACTCACGGAGAGGCCAAACGGAGCGCAGGATGAGCATCACCATGACAATGCTGAGCGCCGGATCGATGTAGAACTTGTACTTCCAGTCCGTCTGCCAGATGATCACCGCAGACACCACCACTATCACCGAACCGATGGCGTCCGCCAGCACGTGCAGGAACACGCCGCGCATGTTCATCTGCTGGGCGTTGCCGGCGGGCGCGCGGCCGCCGCCGACGGTCACCTCGTCGTCGTCGTCATCGCCGACGAAGGAGGATAGGTGGCCGCGCGTGGTGGCCGGCAGGGACGGCGGCGGCGGCGAGCCGGGCGACGCCTTCTTGGCGGCGCCGTGCGAGTGGCCGTGACTGAGTCCGCCGTGACTGTGGCCGTGGCTGTGGTCTGCCGACGACAGCCGGTCACATGGTCACACGTCCAGGTCACGGGTCACCGACGACGCCCGCTGCAGGGCTGGGAACAAGCCGGCCGGCTGGACCTCCGCACCTCGCGCGTTGGAGGAGGAGCGTCACCGGACAGCGTGGTGTTCAGGTGGCATCATCATCAAAACCCTGGCATGGCAAAGTTTGTTACCCCAGGGCCGCAGATACTTTAAGCTCGTCAAGACAATACATGCCGGCTTGATCCCTGGCACAGCTTGTAAAATGCTAGAATAAGTATTGCCGTATTGTCTGTCTGGGGCGCCTGAGCACCGAGCGGCTTCTGTCGCCACAACTTCGGCCAATAATTCAACGCACTTACTGGCAAAGAGAGCGAGCCCGATCACATTGACCACCAGTCCCAGCACGCCAACCACCAGGATCATCTGCGGACTGTGGATCTTTTCCACCTCGTAAAACCTGAAACGCACACGACCGCACCGGTTCGCTCAAAAACGAACCAACGAACAACAGGCGCAGGGTTCCCGACCAAGGTCAGCGTAAGCGCGGCGACAAAGTAAGCGTTTCATCCAAGCGTACATGAAACTGATAAACGTATTTTCGTAAGTGCCTTTCAAATCTTTATGCCCGGATGTCTGGTCGGCGACTTCTGCCCATCGCACATCAGCCTTCCACTTATTCACTCGTTAGTGTTGCGACAAGCGAACGTATACATTCGCTCAACTTCGCCTGCTCGTTCATCTTAAAGTATATTTTGACCGTACAGCCAACGCACTTTGCCAGTGTGACAGCTGGATTCAACTAGAAGACGTGAAGGAAGCTGGACTGCGACTAAGCATCCTACAATGGTCGAGTACGGGGAGTCATGCTTCGCCGAAAGACCATCTCGTTACCGTACAGCGCAAAGAAAACGAGAGCCACGGTGTGACTTTAGCTTACCGATATAGCATGCCTACCATTGGAAACCACCATGTCAATCGTGTCACATCCGAGGGGGAAAAACTGACTATTACTTAGATTAAAAACAGATATTCAACGTTCATCGGAAATTTTGTATCTACCTCAAAAGATAATTCGAAAGCAACGAGCGATACCATACAGTTCAAAGAAAATAATTCACGCGTTATGGTTAGCAAATACTTATGCTGAATAAATCCCTGCAAATTATTGGCTAAAATCCCGACAATATATATCCACGAGAATGTTATACTTTATCCGAACACCACTTTCGGCGTTCGGACATAACAAATCCGAAACTTCGCCCGCACACTGGAATGTTTACAACGCGAACGTTTGCCTTCACTCGCATTTGCCACCTTATCCGGACCTAATGTCGAAAGATATAAGGATATAACGGGTACGGTAACGGGTCGAAAGATATAACGGGTACGCAGGCCTGTTGTTACCACGCAGCCGGCAGCTCGTTGTGAATGGTCCGGTACAAGGCGTGTGAGTCACTGTCCACATGTCGTGCTATCATAGGGATTAGGCCGGCGCCTGTTCCGACGCGACCCGCCGCTTTACAGCACAGCCGGCCACTACGGCCTGTGGCCTGGTGAAGAACAAGCGACGCTCCATATCAGCAGCTGCACGAGTGCTTCTGTTAATGTCCCTACATGATAAGACTAGAATCAAGTACATTGACTTCCGCGGTGTGCTTCACCAACGGTGCAATGACTGAAATGACGCACCGAGGGATGGGTCAACACTAGCAGGCTGGCAATATGTCTTTGCTTCTTTATTTTTTCGTTGATTTAGGTCGTAAGCAGTCCAATGGCAACAGTCCAATTGCAGAAAACAGTTCATTTTCAAAACCAACAAATATACGACACACACGTTCGCGTTGTAAACACACACACACACACACGACACACACACACACACACACACACACACACACACCACACACACACACACACACACACACACACACACACACACACCAACAAAACCCTTAACACACACATGGACCTTACACACAGTGACGCATGCGCCTTACACATTCAGACACAGCGGTTATCAAAAGAACGCGCTACGGGCGCCGACGACCTTTAAAAACACCAGATCGGAATGATTTTATTGGCGGAAAAACGTCGGTTGAGGGAAAACGTGTAGAAAACGATTCCAGACAATAGGTAGATGTGCGGCAAATCTTTTTAAACAATATTGACCTTTGCAAATGACTCGAGGAAAAGGCTGGTTTGCTGAGAGCGCCGGGTGGATGTAGCCAGACCGAACAGTGATGTTAGGTGAGCGCAGTCAAACCTGTGATGATATCCGTTGCATATAAAGAAGATGTCAGACTGAGCGAAGCGTGCCCTGATAGATGCTGTTTTGAAATAAGCAAGAAGATGCTCAAAAGTGTTGTAGTCGTTCGAACTCGGTGAGATGGGCAACAGCAGCACCGCTGCAAATAACGACACCGTATTCTATCAATGACCTTACGTGAGCGTTGAAGGCACACAGCAGAGCCTTATGATTGAACCGCGCTTGACGAGGCTACGACGGCATTCTCACGCTTCGCTTGAGAAGGTCTATCATCCCGTTTGCTTCTGAGACAGTCGAATCTATGTGATTGGCAGAGGTGAGTTTGGTATCTAGGAAGACGCCCAGATCGCGAATCTGCTGGCAGCTATCCACGCGGTGACCGTCTAGTGCGTATGGGTAGCAAACAGGTGACGTATGGAGGGTGAATGAGATGGTGTCGCACTTTGCTGGGTTCAATTTCAGTCCCAGTTTTGAGACCATTTACAGAGGCGATCTAAATCAGCCATAAATATGAGACAATTTCCTGCGCCTTCGATTCCGCGACTGATGTTCACATCACATCATCCACGTACATACGGTATTCACTCTCAGTCCGGTCAGGGACATCAGCCAGAAGGCAGGCTAACAGCAACGGTCCCAGGATGCAAGCTTTCGGGACACCAGATGGACACTGGAAATCTAGTCCGACTGCTTGCCGTTCCGCATTACAGTTGTGAATGACTGTTCAAATACGACTCAAGCCAGCTACAAACGTGGCCAACGATGCAAAAAGAATGGCGAAGCTTGTGTAGCAAAATATGGTGATTGACGTTGTGAATGCTGAGGAGTAATTAGTGTAAACCGCATCTGTTTGTTTACCTTTTGAGATAGATTTCCAGCAGTATTCAAGCAAGCATGCAAGGTTTTTGACGCGGGAATGTTTTGGAAGGATCCAACCTGAGAGGAGGGCGGGCAGACAGAGCTGTAACAGACTTTCGCTCACAATTACACCAATATTTTTGAGCAAATACGAAGCAAAAACAAAGCCTGTAATTTTCAGGCAGCTTTTTGGGCCCCTCTCGTGCACCGATATCACATTCGCCTGCTTCCACGTGGTAGGGAAGACGCCAGAGTTACGGGAAAGCTCGCATAGCATTTCTAACGGAACAGCTAGCTCCTTGGCACACTTCCTGAGAATGCAGACGTAGAGTCCGTAGGGCATGCAGACCTCATGTGCACTGAGATCGCATAACAGTTAGGCTATACGGTCATGCAGTACAGCAACGCTGTCTAACCCAGGTGCATCGAGCAAAGGTGCGTCAGGCAATATATGAAAGTTTAGGTCACAAAACTGCCGAGAAAAACACATATTCAGACAGGTGATACGCGCCCCCCCCCCCCCCCCCCCCCAACCGCTCTTATACACATCGCCACCGCACTCAAGAACAGGAGATATGCGCGCTGATGACTTCAATAACTCAACAAAGAGCCAATACCGCTTCGGGTTGTCAAAGTCTCGCACTAGACTCAACAAGTACTCGCAATATTTAGAATCAGCCGCAGTGCATCCAATAAATGGCATGTACAATATAAGCGTCATTGTAATATTGTATCAGGTCGCATCGTTACATAAATCATGTCGCCAGCCAATTTGGCTGCACTGTGTCTGCACGTCACATCGCACCGGGTTCATCGCAGCACGGGAGAGTGAGCTGGCTACTGCGGGGCTTGGCTCCCGGCCGGCCGGAAGGAGCGAGAGCGATAACTACAAGCGGACCCGACCGATGTCTCAACCCAGACCAGTGATCTAGATTTTGTACACGCCAAGCGTGCGGCACGCACAAAATCTAGGTTACTGGTCGGACTGTTCACATTACCAATGCAGATGATTACAGAGACGAGACGGAAATCAGCCCTGTTCTGTGATCAACCGAACTTATACTTGCGGCCGTCCTGGCTGGAGCGACCTTTTGTACCCGTTACGGTTGTGACGTGGCGTCAGTAGTCTGCTGCCAAGATCTCGGTGGCATCAGGATCCTGTGTACCGCCGTGTGGCTGCGGCAGACCATCCTCGCCGTTGCGTGCATTTAGTGCATGCATCCCACATGGCCAATTGCCTGAGGCCTCGTTCCAGGTTATCACGTGTCATCATGTCACCCGGCTGCACGGTGAGAAACACGCATTTTCAAGGTCCTGTCTACAGCAACTGTGGCAAACTACCTCTTTAGAGACTCGACAAAATCGAAAGCAGAGCGCAATGAGGAACACCGAGTTGACCAGAGCGCCGAGCACCTCGGCGCGCGCCCAACCGAATGTGTTCTTGGACCACTTCTTGGGAGACATCTGAAAAGCATAAGGTTTAGGAGCCCCACATTAGAACAGCCCACATTCGTGCAGTATGGTCGTTTAATGGTTCGTGTGTGTGTGCATGTCTGCATAACAAGTAAACCACACCTCTGTGTAGTAAAAAAAAAATATTACAGCACAGAAGCATGCCTCAGAATTCGAACACATGTCATCTGAACAGAACGCCCGTGCTAACACACTGCAAGCGATCTATAAACTACAAACGACCGGCTGGACGTGCGGTTCAAACAACTGATAACAGTACATGGTAATCTAGAGCATGCTGAAATTTGACTCCAGTGAGATCGGGCTGTGTATATTTGATCCGATACGCGGACGGCCCAGCCGGAGGGCACAGACACCGTCAGCCGGGTGGCCGAGCATAGCACTTGCGCCCGGCTACGGCGCGCACAACAATGCCGAGCGGTGTGGGTAACAACTGTGCGCAATTATCATGCCGCCCAATGTTTGCGATGACTGTGCTGAACAAGCGATTGTGTTGACGTATTGAAGTTAAAGAGTTGAATACGCGGTTCTTGGTTGCCTCGATGACCCGGTGTGTCATATCAAGACGAGGAGTAAACACAAAAATGCAGTTGACGCCCCCACCCGCACACACAAAGCCAACCACTGATTTCCTCAAGACGAGAATATTCCAATACAAAGCGCATAATATACAACCTACATGGAGATATTGTTTGTCGAGCTGGCTTGCCCAGCGACATCAAAATAGCTCCGTCGCCAAGTTGGCGTGAGTTTTCCATACCGCGATGTGATGTGCGTCCGCCCCGGTGTCTCGGACTAACGGCATGACTCACAAAGCTCGCGCCAGCAGGACGCGTCCACGGCCCTGCTGGCGTTGGCTTTCGCAAACAACCAACAATGACGCGGTCTTAGTACTCACGCGCACGGCAAGAAAGGCCACGACGAGAGCCACCACATCGCTGAGCATGTGGAAACTGTCGGCCACCAGCGCCATGGAGTTGGTGACGTAGCCGACGATGATTTCCACCAGGAAGAAGGTGGTCGTCAGGCTGAACATGGTCAAAAGCCGACACTTCTTCCCTGAGTACTTCCCCATTTTCTGTGGCGGGTGACACGAAGACGATGTTATGGCAATGTTATGTCATGTTATGGCGAGTCTCCACCATTGCGGTTATCAGTAGGCCAAATGTTTTCGTATTGGTGGCCCACTTGGGTGTCATCTACGAATCCGTTTCGCATCCTCCATACCAATGACAGTTCTGCCACCACTGGTTCGGAAGAAGGCTCCGTATCTGACAGGCGGGCGGCGCTCGTCGGGCTCGTACTCCACCCAGACAATGGCAGATGTCTGGCGTTGGTTGAGTGGCCCGGCGCTGCGCTTTCAACCAGAATATGGTCTGCCCTGTTAGACGGTGGCTCGGCAAATACTCACAAACCCAATGTACACTAAAACCCTGTGCTTGCATCGCGTCTGGGCTTGTGAGGTCACACATTCGACGCATCCGAGTAAGGAGCGTCTGGAGTCCACACGCTCAAGAGCGCGGTGGTTTATGACTGCCTCCTAGACCTCGTTTGATTGGTTCACTGTGGCTGGAGAGCACTTCTTTCGATTACTGGTTTTCGCCAACATCGAAGGTATATTCGTCTACAGCCCCCCTGAGGGACCAAGTCCCACGGGGAGTAATGATGACAGTAATGTCCAGCCCTCAGATGTAACGCATAGTACTGGAGCACCTTGGAGGGCAGGAGACACCCGCTGGAAACAAGTTCCGAGCCTCCAGATTGTTACGCAGCTTGCCCATCCGCTCGTGGATCCCGCAAATCCCTGTCCCGTTTACGGATAGTCGGATAATGTGGTGTCGTCCACCGATAGTATGACCTTTCACGCGCTGCAGAAGATGTGATGCACATGGTGAACAGCAACACTGCAAGTCAGAGCCCAATGGTTAATTCGCTTCAACAAAACCTTAACCAACGAAGGGCCCGGACACGTGGCGTTTCACATCCGCCCTTATAACCATCAAAATACCGACTGCAGCGAACCCTGATGCAATCATTTTGTTATCACTTCTTTGTCCGCTCACAACGACGTGAGCATACGCCTACCGATCTGCGCATCTCCACAATGAGCGTGTTATCAGCAACGACACTGCGGACGCGCATTTCGCTAGGTTCAAGACTCGTGTCCATGACGTTATTCAATGGACCTGACGTTTTTGCCTCTCGTATGTCTCTATGTCGTGGTTACGACAGTCACCTGGGATTGTCGATGCATCTGGTGACGAAGGTCTAAGAAGGCCTAGATTCATATCGAATGCCCTCATCTAGTGCAACATAATACAGGGTCAGACTGTGCATACAAATAACAAGATGGGGACATGTGAAAGATATCTTATGTCCCACCTTCGAAATCTGATAATCACGATACCGACGGCGGACGTCGGACGTGTAACACTCATGGTACGATACCGACGCATCAAGGCCGGTTCGACGGATCAAGGGCAGCATTTACTTTTCACTGTGAAGCTTTTGCGTACTGACCGTTGATTGCTCGACATAGCAGCTAATTATGACATCTTAATGTGGTAGTAACATGATATCCCACTACACATCAATGGGATACAGTTGGGCGGTAGGGAATTGGGTGGGGAATAAAAGTATAATAATAAGTGGGATTAGGAGTATATAGAAGTAGGAGTAAGAGAAAGATGAACAGTAGGCGTGGAGTAAGAGTAGGAGTGGGAGCAGGAGTGGTGGCAGAGTCAGGTAGGTTAACATCATAAACTTGCCTAAACACAAAAGTTAATGCTGGTGATGGGCAGCTTAAAAAAACACCCATATTTCTATTGCTCTAAGATGTCATATTTAGCAACATGTCCAACACTGGAATTCCACAAACTCTATTCCAATTCCATGTCCACTACTGGAATTATCATATTTTAAGGCAAGACCATAACTGGTGGCAACACATGTGCTCCTTATGATCAATTATAGTGCTTCTGTCTAAAAAAGGCAATTTTAAGTGCAATCTGTTGTTGTAAAGTTAGCCACAAAATGTCTACCTTAACCCATATACCAGCATATCATTGTTATTGTACCACAGCAGTAATTTCAGAGCATGTTTGCAACTAATATATAGGGTAAATGAAAGTAATTGCTCCATCACTTCATTTTCTCTGTTCAGCAATATGTCCCTCAGTATCTCACCTATTTGAGTCATGGAGCATTGTTGTGACATTGAGGTACTGCTAAGATAGGGTGGGCAAAATTGCCACCTCACTAGCCACTTGTGGCAGTTCAAGCTTGCCGAGAGATGATAGTGGCAATGCTGGAAGCATTGCTGAGCCAAATATAAAACCAAACCCTTTTCCATGGCATTCTTGTACAGGTACCATTGCATTAAGATGTGCATTTATATTCACATTCTTGGTATAGTGCTATTCTACTTTATGTGGTATTCTTGCACATTTACCCTTGAGTTTACTGATGTTTAGTTACAATTACATTCTTGGTATAGTGCTGCTTTAAAGTTATTAGATTACCAAGTCTTTTTCCACAACAGTTAGCAATCATGGCTAATGCTTTCTTTCTTATTTCCCTTTTTCAGATTTCATCTGAGCCTTTTGAATGGATGGATTTATGGGATCAGAGTTCACATTGAGCAGCACTACTCATGCAAGCCTGACAGCCTAACATCTGATCACACAATCCCAGGTCAACAGCTCGATTTGGTAGTGAAAGCTTCAGAGGTCATCTGACTTTCATCACAGCCAGCATTTCATCACAGCCGGCATTTACACAGCAGCATTTCATCACAGCCAGCATTCATCACAGCCAGCATTTCATCACAGCCAGCATTTCATCACAGCCAGCATTTCATCACAGCAGCATTTCATCACAGCCGGCAATCTACAGGCCAAACTAGTCAAAGCCAAATAGGCAGTGCCTAAAAAGGGGCAGGCCCTTCTAACCAACTAAGCCTCATGGCAGGCTTAACTTGTTAATAATGTAGCACAAAACATGATTTGTGGTTTGAAAATAGCACAGCTTGCTCAACACTGATTGAGAGCTGATTGTCATTCTCTTTATTAGGAAATTGTTGGCATGGATACCAGATTTGACCATCTCCATAATATTATACCTGGCTTTAAATGCAAATGGCCCCAAGGGATGACAGGATTTAATGACAATTCTATGGTGTCCATGCATGCCTGAAATGGCCATCAAGTCTGCAGAACACAGTTTGCACATTTTCACAGGTGTTCAGCTAAGCCACTAGAGGGTTTTAGATCTTGAGAACAACAGGACTGTGAACTGCACCCAATGGTCTTCAAAATGGCTTTTCAATTCAAACCCCACTCAAATGTGAAACAAGCCTTGAATGGTGTTGAAATTCTAAAAAAATTCCTGGTAGCAGAGTACAAATTTTCTATAGTGGAGTACAAAACTATCAAAGTGCTGTGGGTCGTTACAGCTTTATTTGGGTTATCTTTGAGAGATAATAGTACAGTGAGTGGCGCTCAACAAAAGCGCCACTTCATATACAGCAATTAACGTAGAAGCATTTTAAATGAAAGGAAACATCAGTATCAATCATAGCACACTGAAACAACACTGTCCCATGCTCTGTGTACTATGAAACACATGTGCATATACATTGGTTTGCGATTTATGAAAGGCTCTGGTATAATCCTTCAAACGGAGGGTAATTACGCATCAGGTTTATACACTCTCCAAAATGGAGGTTGGGTATGATATGCACAGCCAGACAAAACAGTACACAATAAATGCGACATGAGGCATGCCACAGACGGCCACCTTCTCATGCTCCACCACGATCACGCTACTCTCGCCCCACCAAGGTCACGCTAGTCACGCTCCACCAGCTAACTGGTTTTAAAAACAGCTAAACATTCATGCTCTCCACCTTCCCACTCCCGGTCAACACACGAGAGGCCCGCACGTCCCACCCAAACAATAGAGATAGACAGCACTCTTCAGCCATTACCGAGCCCAGTGCAAGTAAAATGCCTGACAGACCCGTGTAGGCCGACCAAAGGGATCGGAGTCAGTCACTCCGCTGGCCCCGACGGATTAGTGCCAGGTATTTGTGGATTTTGATGTGCTTTAAACTGATGCTGCAAATATGATAACTTATGATGCCATTAATTGACGTTTTTGTCCTAATCAGCCCTTCTCCTTAATTTGCCGGGCCAAAGTCATGGATTTATGTTACTCTAGTGTCCTGGTGCTTTGCCAGAGTGAGATGGCTGTCTCCGAAGTTTTTGGGCTATTTATAGCAACATTTTTAGACTTTTTTTTAGGGTAATTTGTAGAGCCTGAATTACCAGCTTTAATGTGGCATTCAACTTGGTTTGAATCCACAGTTGCCTTGACAATTTTGTACTCCGGATACCAGGAAGTGGCCAAAAATCCATCCACATGGTGGTTCTGGGTGAGTACAAATAAGTCCTTCATAATTGTGATGCCCATCTCTATACAGCTTTCCTCCAAATGTTTACAAGTCTGTTCATGGCATGAGCATGTGCAAATATTTATGCCCTTGACAAATCAGTCACGAGGAGGTGAATCATTAAAACCAGTTGGAATTTTACTATGTTCAACCTCCAACCTGAGCTGGGAGGCAAGGCGCAAGCCGCTGAATGGTTCAGGCGTTTCTGACGCTGAATTGCGAGTGATTCTCTTATTTGCATCGCCATGACACAGTGGTGGCATGTGGGTAGGCGGCCGTTTGCGGTAGGTGATTGGGCTTGGGTGTGTGGTTTTTTAAGAGTGTTCATTGCATTCCTTGGCAATTAATGCAGTTTGTCGTCAATGGTAGGTTAAGTCATGTTCAAGTTTGAGTTGGTCTGCATAGCGCAAAGGTAATCTACAGACCGGTGTGATTCTGGTACTCGTTTCTCATTTCCTGGTATTGTTCATAGGCCATTCCATTCAGCATTCACATGCTTTATTTTTTACATTTTCATAAATGGTTTATCATATACCTAAGTGGCAACACAGGCTGCTTGCCACTGGGCATGTTAGTCTGGTGGGTGCAAGATTTGTGCTCTTGCAGATATCAATACGTGGCTCCAGATGGAAGCAGCAAGTCTCAAGCTGTTGTACATCCTGGTTTTATTTTGTCCTGACACAGAGAGATAAAGTGAGTTTTTCCAAAAACTGTTCTGTTGCATCATGATGGAGTTATAAACATTTCATTTGACCTAGTCACAACCCTGAGTACAAATTCTTCTGGCATACATTATACCAGGAACATCAAGTTTTCCAATGCTGGCCTTGTAAGCCTGTCTCAGACTGCGAACATATATGTTCTACCAAATATGCCTAGCAAAGCAGCAGCCTACTGCAAAACCTTTAGCACATGTATGCTAAAAATCTGAGCATTCAGAGTTTGGCATAAAGTTATGACTGATTTTAGTGGAAAGGGTAAACATTCAAGGAATCATGATGTGGGGGCCATGTCTGGCAACAATGCTCTAACAATCATTCACATGAAAAATGGTTGGAACAGTACAATCTGGCCTGGCTTAAGTTTGACATACCCAGGCATGATATTCAGCCTGCAGATGCCCTGCACACAACTAGCAGTCCCTGGATTGTTTGAACCTGGTCTGTAAGTATAAGTACCAGGCCGCTACTGGGGTCCGCTGACAGGTCAGATTCCAGCTATTAGGCCACCAGGCACCACTTGTCACAAAACAACCACTGCAGCAGACCCCCACCCAAAAGTGATGGTCGCTAACATTAAACATGATAAGGTATCCATGCATGAACAAAATTACTGAAATGATAAATAGACCAGGCACCCTACATCCATGACATGAAAGATACGTTTTCACAACAAGATCCGTTTTCTACGATCCCTAAAAGCATGAGAAATCTGCCCAACATGGGGCAGCGGAATGGATCGCACCTGCCCCCATGGACCATGTCTCTCGTCGGCTTTGTGACTGTAAGCTAACTGGGACGCTCGCGTACCGTGTTGCGATGTAACGTATGAGTGTGCGCGTTATCCCGCCGCCGTCTACGGCACCACGCCCTGGCTGGACTTGGACAGCTGTCCCTCAATCGGCGCAACCACCGCATCCACCACAGAACACGGACAACCCGAGTAGCGCCTCCCCCGATACACCCAGACGTTCTCTGCCGCGACTGACGCTGCTGCCACTCTCTGCCAGCCACTTCCCTAAAAAGTAAACAAAGCATGCTATAGTAGTGAACTGGTTTCGCCATATAACCATTTTTGTAGGTGGCCCTTTATCTAAATATGGCACTTAAGTGCCAAAAATAGAACACATTTAATTTGTAAAATTTATCTTCCGAGGATATTCCTTTTTCAACATCAATGGCCACGATTCATTTGAGTCTAGTTTCTGTTGGGGATATTCGTATACTATCCAATTTTTAATGCATGCTATAGCTTTTTACGGACAACTTTCAGTACAAAACTAGAATATGACACCCAAGAAAATTATGAAAGTCTTTTTCTGCTAAGTGCTTGTACAGGATTCGCTCATTTTCGAAGAAGACTCTTTTCAAAACCAGGCACCTATTTCTTATAGCTCTGGATAGCATAGCAAGAGAGGAAGCGAGTCTGTGCGCAGGGGTGGTGGGGATGGATGGATTCAGGAAGATGATATGATCGTGATATAGTCTCCGTCGAATCTTTACTGTCCTGCTTGTAATAAGCATCTGAAGTAAGATTGCTTCTCTGTTGTTTATTTTTACGGGTTTATGTGTCTAGGTAGATGGCAGGTACACTACATGTGGAACGATGTGCGCCAGATTGTGTTGGCGTCTGTCTAACACGTGCTTGGATTGAGGTGTTAGTTGCAGTCTTCGAGGTCTGGTCATTTTTGTCCGGTTTAATATGCTTATTTTTAATAGTTATTGGTTTGTTAATGGTGTTTTTCCCCATTAACCAGTCAATCCATCCCAGATTTGTGCATCGTTTGCTGATGAGCATATGTTATGCATGGGCCATACTCAGCAGCATATGCATGGATAAAACCAATATTAATGGGCTGAATCGCCTTTGTATTGCATGCAATTTGCAAATATGCATGGATATATATGAATTTGAACAGTGAATGCCTTAGTTTCAGTTGGCAGTGGTGTCAGTTTCTAGGAGTTTTGTAGCACTTGTGGGAAAGGATTTGGGCACTGCTGGTCCTAGTTTTTGGTTGTGTAGTACTCATTAGGTAACCTGAAATAGGATGGTCACTTTTTGTAGCCATGTGTGTGTGTGTGTGTGTGTGTGTATCAAGTCCGTTGCAAATTTTTTATAGGTTAGTGTGAGCAAAGAGATGCACTGGTAAGGTATTTGTATGACAATCACAAATGGTGGTAATTGTCCTTATTTTTGTATTTAACTTGGTAATATACCCTCAAAATTGCTGATGACATGCCTAGTAAGGGAATTTGATCTACTTGATTTTCATAGTTATTTGGTGTAATACATAGCATATATTGACATTTGAGTCCCCCGGGATGATATTTTGCTGAGATATGTTGATTTAAATGTCATGCTTACTTTGCTGTTTACTTGAAAAATCTTATTCAACGACCGGGTAGTCAGACTCGTATGACAAGAACACAATATGGAAGTGCATTTCTATATAAAAATGTTTTTAATAATGTAAACATGCATGCAATAGCAGCATTCAGGTCACTATTTTCTCTATAAATAGTTAAAACTATGACTAAATTGGAGCATAGGTTGCAGTCATGTAATGTGCATTCCTGGTATGATCAAACTGTGTGTGATATTGTCTGTGATATGACAAAATACAGTTAGCATGTCACAGGTTGTTAATGTTACAGATCAAAATGCAGTTAACATATGCCTAAAAACTGAGAGACAACCTGTATCAGATTTGGTGTAATCTACCAGCAGCAAGGTGTGGTCAGATGTCTTCTGCACATCACTGGATTTGATCATGCTCAGGCATTTGGTTAAATGAAATAGGTAAATAAAAAGAACACTTGATATGTAATGCATTGAACTTAACCCATTTGAAAGCATATTTTTTCAAATGCTCCTACACAGGTATTGATTGTCAATCATCTGGGCACTCACTATCAGTCGAAAGTGCATTAGACATGTCATGTGACTGGTTTCTTGAAAGCTGCTGAAATATCTGGATTTGTGTTAAAGGCTGGTTAGCAATTCTTGCTGCTCTTAGAATTTCAAACCAGTATGGAGACAGGAAGGTGATATTACAGTGATCATGAGTCAGCATGTCACTATGATGTGATCCAGTTGGAGGCATTGTGCATCATGTGTCCAGTATAGGGTTTGGTTGCTGAAGGTCAAGGTTGTAGGACTTATTCCTGTGCAATTTGAAATTGGCTCCAAGGCATATTCCTCTCAAGGTAACTGGTAATGTAAGACTTAAGTGTAGTACTGCCTTTTTAAAGTTCCAAGTTGTGTAACCTACAAAATATCTCTTAAAGATGTTTGGATAGAAAAAATGGCAAAATCACAACTGCAAATTGCAAAAATACATTAGGAAAATATACAGTTCAAATAAGGAGATAACTTCCTATGCATTTGATGAAGACATTTTGAGAGGGCCAAATCTGCAGGCAATGTCTGTGACATACATTTTCTTCAAGCAGTTCTGAAATCAGTGATAGAGAACCTGAGAGGGCTCAGAACTTCCTGCATAGTGTATTAGTGTGCTGATAGTTATGATATGTGACATAGGTCATGTCAGGACTGGTCCCTAATGTGCTGATAGTTATGATATGTGACATAGGTCATGTCAGGACTGGTCCCTAATGTGCTGATAGTTATGATATGTGACATAGGTCATGTCAGGACTGGTCCCTTATGTGCTGATAGTTATGATATGTGACATAGGTCATGTCAGGACTGGTCCCTAATGCAACTGGGTGTTGGAAGTTAAGGGGATGGGCCTAGGTGTTATCAGTTGATTAGTCTCTGTTATGGGTTGTGTTGGCATGAACTAATAGATCACATATTGGTAAGTGCAGATATTCTAGTTGAGCTGTTTGTGCTGGATGCTTCATGATAAACAGGCATGGACCACTTGGTGCACTGCCAAGTGCCCTTATGCATTCAACACAAGTGGGGTTTAGTCAGACAAGGTGTAACTACTGACAGTAAATGTGTGGAAAGACATCAGTGCACTTAGATAAGTGTTCATTTGCTAAGCTAAGGAGCTTTTTGGGTGATTGTGTGTTCTTAACAGTGTAACTGAATCATACATAATATTCTGTCTATCCCCAATAGCATAATGAGACAGAAAAGAAACTTTCTGCAGGCTTTATCAAGAATATTGAACATGGTGGCCTCACATTTGAGTTGCTAAGTTTTTTTGTCTGTGCACATTATGTGGAAATTGCATGCTTCTGTTCACTGAGCACTGACAATGATTGTCATATTAACAGATATGCTGGTAAATCCAAATGAACATGTGACTTGTGAGGATATTTCAGTGTCACTTAAAAGTTTGAGTTAATTGATGGGCAGATGTTGAAGCTGTTGTTTTCCTAAGGCATATTCAAATGGAATATTTGGAGGCATATCAGAACAGTGAAGTGCATGATATTTCACATGAGTGCTGGGGATATGTTTGCAAAACCATTTTAGTTGGGCATGTGGCAGTTCAACATGTAGTGCTACCACATTCATGTTTTTATATAAGTTTCAAATTTGGGGTTGTGACCGTTTTCTGTCCTTTTGGTCTCTGCCCAGATGCTACTTTTGTGCAATGATGCACAAATGTGCACATTGGGGGAACATGTATATCACAGGACAAGAGATTAATCTGTCTCATTTTGATTGATCTCCAGCTAAAGTCAATAAAATGCAAGTTTTTAATAAAAAAAAGATGTAGGATCACCATCATGTCATTTCCAAGGGTAATGGATTGTTTGCCTTTGAATGGTTTCTAGTCAATAAATGAAATGCCCAATATTGTGTGTCTTGCTGTTACATCTGTATGCATTTATTGGTTCCATGGTTTTTGTTTGGGTGGGAGGGGGGGGGGGGGGGCCTGTTGTGATCATGTTATACATGGATTCCCATCTGCTGGGTGCTGGCCATTGAGCATCAGTCGGCGGCCGCCCCTCAGGTCCCGCGGTGCCGGCACGCGGCGCCCCTGCCACCGCGTGATGTCGGAGGCGGCGGTGCTGGAGGAGCGCACGGCCGACACCCCCGAGCCGGCCGGCTCTTCGTACGCGCAGGCGTTGCGCGGCCGCCAGCTGCCCGAGGGCACCGACGCCGACGAGCAGTTTCCGGAGCTGGGCCGGCCGCCCACCGACGGCGAGCTCGATGAATCCGGAGAGTGGAAGCAGTCCAAGTCGCGGCGCGCCGACAAACGCCAGCAGGCGCGCGAGCGGCGCGACCAGCGTGTGCGCCGGGAGCGGCGCGAGCGGCCGCCGCGTGCCGCTCCCGGCGCCGGCCCTGCGCCCGGCCCGGCCGGTGACGACGGCGAGCGGGGCGCCGGCCGAGTCACAGCAGCAGCAGCAGCAGCAACAGCAGCCGCCCGCGCCGCTGCCGCCGGGAGACTCGGCCGGCTCTGGTGAGGACTCGACGGCCGCCGACGACCCGCGCAAGTTCGTCGACGCGCCACCGCCAAAGCAGAACGCCTGGAGCAAGAAGCAGCTGGACACCCCGGAGGCGGCCGAGCGGCCGCTGCCGACTGAGCCGGGCCTTCCCGTGGAGCCGGCGGCCGCGTGCGCGACTCCGGCGCCACCTGCCGCCCGAAAGCCCCCAGTCGGCTGCGCCAGGTCAGTCCAGCTTCGGCCCCGCGCCTCCGTGCTCTTAGCCTGTGCGTACAGTCGTTGTCGCTCCCCACGGCATGACGGAGAAGTTGGTGCAACGATTGCTGGGTTTGTAATGATGTGAGCTGAGCAGATGGTGGAATTGAGTCCCAGTGGGCTTCTTGTGCACAGCGTTCTCAGCAAAAAAGCTGCCATATATGGCATGGGGATATCTCATATTGCTACAGCGGTCAGCTAACAGCGTGAAATGCTGCCTTCAAAGTATTATGAGAGGAAATAACAGCTTGGTTACGTTCATCATTTCATAACTA